TGTTGGGATCTGGTATGTGTATTTTGAGGTGGATGAGTGTAATTAATTGTAAACTTTCCAATCGGATTTTTTACAGCGAATAATTAAGTTCTTCCTAAAACTTACATAGTTTCTGCCTTTTGTATTTAAAATTTTCAGGAGAGCTGTAAAATTAAAATGGTTTTTAAGGGGCACTCTGATTACTTGCATTGTATAGTTGCCCGGAACACTGTCAACCAAGTACGTCTTTCCTTCTTTTCCTTGGTTATAATAGATTTCGATCTCCATTTCTACCTCGACCCTCTTTGAATTCTGTTTAGACTGCATAGTTTGTTCTTTTGTCTTCAGTGCGGTCGTCCTCCAGGCAGGTAAACTAGTAATGAATAGGAAAGGAGTGTTACTTCAAGGGTGTACACTGGCACAGATAAATGGGAATAGGAAACCTAGTAGATGCATATCCTTAGTTACTTCATCGTCATGAGACACAAACACAAAGCACAACAAATAAAGTGACTCAATAAAAATTACAAGCACCCTTTTCACATGGTAGATATGCATATTGATATCCCCCCTCGCAACCCTCTGTTGCTGTGGGTGGGGGCACACGCTGGCCTCCCGTGCGCACCGTCGCACGGATGGCTTAAATTTGTGTCCTCGGCGCCAACAGGCGCCATGCTACGGCAAAGAGAACTTCCTACTCTCCTCAGAAACTAACTTCTCCCCCCAACACGCACACACCCCACTATCCTTCACAACCTGAGTCTTAAGTAATTTGACTCACCACATAGTTGCTGGAAGATGTGTCTTCTAACTAACTTCTATGGCATCTCCCCATCATCTCATTTACTGCCTCCAGCCTCGATTTCCTCATTCTTGTAAGTGCATGAATTGTGAATCTGTTACTCTGTCAACGACTTTTATCTTTAATTAATAGTTGGTATGCAGTTAGTAGAGTATGGGATTCTCCTGAGCATCAGTGTAAAGCATGAAATTCTTGAGATTTAGTGAGATTGTTTGCCTAATACTCTCTCCATGTTCTGCCACCAAGCATTAGTATTATACCGATTAGGTGCTACTAATGAAGTCCTGCAGCCAAAAGGGAAGACACTAATTTTTATTTTTTTTTCTGTCCAATTCTTCAAAAAATTAATTATTATGGCTTCATTTGGTAAAGCTTTTGGCTTTAGACTTTAGTTTTATGTTTCGAAACATGTGACCATCATTAGTTTTCTGAACTATACTTTTCATGTACTTCCACCTTATTGTTTTCACACCTTGAATTTCAGATCATAACTGGTTCAGAAGATGGTACAGCACGAATATGGGGTATGTAAATTATTTATTTATAATATATATGTCTAAAGCAGAAGGCCATGCATCAACTTCAATCATTTCCTACCTGCACTTGTAGCATATTTAATGCTAAATTCTATTTTAAAAATCGTAAAGTTGTTGAGCAGGAACATAGTTTATTATAGACTATAGTGGTTAAAACTTCTCAAAGAGACCACGGGGTTCGAATTCTCTTTGACTATCTGTCTGTCAATCTGCTTATAGTCTCTACTTTCTTAGCAGTAAATTTTGGTTGGGAGATTTTTTGGTATAAGTATATGAATTTTAAGGTATCTTATACGTGTTTATACTATCAAACCAGATTGCAAGAGTGGAAAGTGCATCCAAGTAATTGACCCAGCGAAGGATAAGAAGCTGAAAGGGCACTTCTCATGTATTAGATGCATTGCTCTTGATGCAAGTGAAAGCTGGTTGGTGAGTATTTACTTAATTATCAGTATATTCCTCCATGGTGATTTGGATTTGAGTTTTTCTGCAGCTGTGCTCTTATTTTGTTATTTGGCCTGTTTTCTATTCTTCATCATTCTTAAAAAAAGCTATTTTTCTTCTTTTTTTTTTTAATAATTGGAAAAGCTTTTTTTCTTCTTGAAGGAAAATATTTGGTAATGGCTCTATATTACTTTGTTGTTTGGATCCACCACTGGATTCCAAAAATCCTACTTATTCAGATTTCCTTCTGTTAATCCTCCCACTTTAGCTGACTTATTCTCCATACTAATCTTCAAACCAGAGACCATCTCAAGCAAATTCGGCACTTTCAACTATATATTGGGTTATAGGAGAGGAACTTTCTGTCCCCATTTTAACTTTCTTTACTTATTTTACTTAAAAATTTGAAATCTAATTTAGTACTTTTTTTTGTTCATCTATTTTTTTCCCTTCAATTAAATAAATGTAGGTTTTAAAGAATATTCAAAATGGTACAATATAATATAAATGTTGTATTTTTCATTTTACTATTTTTTTGTATGGTTCCATTTTGTCTTTTATTTTTTTAGAATAGAAAGATCATTTTTTTCCTTGGGACTATAATATACTAATTAATAAACCTTTTGATTTTCCAATAAAATTTTTTAATGTTGTAAACAAGTAATACTAATCATCCATAACTAAAAAATCTTTGTTTTCAGTCAAATCATTTATATACAATACTCATAAAAAACCAATTTATTAATGGGGTGATAAAAACTATGTCAGATTTATCATTCCGATACTCTAACAATTAAGTAGGTAATTTTATTAATCAGTATTAATTTAATACATAATATTCATAATGATACCAGGAATGCTTCAGGGCGTCCCAAGATATGTTTTCAGTTATTGCTATACAATTACAACCCGTCTTTGCTCAATTGATACAAAACACACATGCTTTAGCACCTAGTATAACGGCCCCCGGTGCAACAACAAGCACCAGTTTGACTTGGGGGGTGGTGATTTAGTGGCAGTGGGTGGCAAAGTTGCTCTGTTACCCCTATTCATTAGGAACCACATATTTTTTGGTATATCATATTCATGCATTTATGATTCATGTGACGGTATTGATACTCTTTAAAGGTGTTCTATTTTCTTGTAGCTCGCGTTTGATACTGGATAAAACAAATCTTAGTTTTCGTTTCCCTCGTGATAAATAAATATAAAATTAAATTATAAACTAATTTCATTTATATAGTTTGGTGACATTAATTTGAACTCATTAATAAAATTTATTTTCTTATAGCAAAATACAACTAGAACTTTACATGCATGGTCCGTGTTATGGACTAGTAGATGAAAAAATCATAGGTGAAAGGTTGACTAGGTTTCATTCCTGAGAATATTTCTCTTGCTGAATTGGTGGGTATAATGGAGTGATATTTACATCTGCTGCATTTTATTTTAGGCCTGTGCTGACGGTCGGAGTTTATCAGTTTGGAACCTTCCGTCTTCTGAATTCATTTCGAAAACTTTGACCCGTTCTTCAATGCAGGATATGGCTTTTTGTGATAATCAAGTGAGTGATTCTCCTTCTTGAACTGGTTATACTTTTAATTAAGTGACACTAGCCTGCATTTTGGTCTTGCTCAGGAATCTGTCATCATGTTTTCATCTTTCATTTGATCATTAGACAAGAAATATAAGATTTCCTACTTGCTTGTATGATTTAGCGCAACAGCAAACTCATTTTTGCATAATTATTGTTGACTTACAAGTTAAAGAAGCATGCACATGACCGTTATACGACATGAGCCTGCGAGAAGTTATCTAAGAGCACGAATATGTCAAATATTGTTATCTTAGTATATCTTGTGTTAGATCAGATTATTCTGACACCATTGTATGTTACTGTTGTCTCTCCGTGTCCAGATATTAGGCATTGGAGCAGAGCCATCACTAACCCGGTTCGACGTAAATGGATCAATTCTTTCACAAATACAATGTGCCCCTCAGTCAGCTTTTTCAGTTGCCTTGCATCCATCTGGCGTATGTTTAACTTGATTCCTTTTGTCCTCTGGAACTTCTTCATTTCTCTCAATTTTAGCGTAACATTATGGGAAGATTAGAACTTAGAAGAGCAACTAAAATGGTGTTCCATTTTGTTTTTATGCATATCCGTGTAATCTCATTCATTATATAGTCTACTACCAAATGAGCAACAAATTCAATCATGTAACAATCTGTTGCTATTTCGACCTTTCATTTTCCTTGGACTTTCATCCAAGCCTTAAATTGAAGTCCTAAGAGATAACTTGTCAATGATATGCTATGAATTCAAGGATCTTGCTTAGGTTATCTTTCCTCTATGCTTCTCTCACTCTAGGATGGTTTATTTGTCGGTTCAGGTCGCAGCAGTCGGAGGCTATGGTGGTCTCGTGGACGTTATCTCACAGTTCGGAAGTCATTTATGCACATTCCGGTGTCAATACAGATAAATCAATATAACCAATTGCTTTGCTGCAGGAGTTGGAGGATGTGCTTGGAAATTCGAAGGTGCCTGCTCCCAACTTACCAATGAGTTCCTACAGTTGAAATACGATTTCTTTTCTTGGAAGAAAAATTTTTAGTCGCTGTATCTTGTGGTTCTTCAATTTTGATATTTTTTAAATTGACAACATATATGCACTTTTGATTTATAACCTAATAGAATCATGGTAGTTTTTTTTAAATAATATTTACGAGTATTCAGGTTAGCTTGCACACGTCTCGACTAATTTCATAGGACAACCATATGACTCTACTATATTGAAATTGATTCTTAGATCGGTGGCTATTATGGGGTTTGAACTCATTCCTTCTAAACCCTTTTGATTTATATTCGTCTAAACCGAGTCAACTTATGATGGTTAGAATCATTCTAGTTTGTGAAAGAAAGAAGAATGTTCTCTTTTTTTTTTTTCTTTCTGGTGGGCAGGATTTGAACACACCTTAATCAATTGAGATTAGCTTAACGGAATTATATAAATAACATGGAGAACCTCAGTTGATATTATTATTTATCATAATTTTCAAATTTCAATTCTGAAGTAATTAGTGTGAATATCTTGTGGTCGCAGGAGTTGGATCTCACAAGACCACATGAAAATTCTATTCGCTGGTTCGAAGTTATTAGGCATAAATTGAATTATTTTCAAAGTGAGCAACATTAGAATAAAAATTTAATTTTAATTTCATACAGTTTCAAATAAACAAATTAAATTTCTGTCATTTTCGTTGGTTAATTTTTTGTTTTTTTGTAAATCGTTCTTAATTTTTAAGAAATATGTGTCTTTCATAACATTTTCTGCTCCTCGTTTTCAAAATTATGTATAAATGTTTAAAATAATAAAATCAATTTTTTGTTTCTTGTTTTTATTTCAACTTTTTTCAAAACACAAGTAAAAATGGTATTTTACCTTTAATGACTTAGAAAATACATAATAAATATTAAAAAATTAAAATACACAATAAATATTAAAAAGTTAATATAATGTAAAAATTTTAAATATTTAATTTACCAAATACACTTATATATTTTTTCAATGAAAAATAATTATCAAACCTAGTGCTTTTCTTAAAAATAGAATGCCATAAATTCTATTTATATTGATCCCAGTAAAGTTTTAAAATAAATGGAACTTGTACTAAAAAGTAATAATAATAAATAAATGGAACTGAATAGATGTAATAAAATATTAACACGATCTTTTTTAAGTTTTAACCCTTTTTTTCAATGCCTTTATTATTTTTAAAAGATAGGAAAACATATCCATTTTCATAAAAGAGATATAAATTAAAATAACATCGAAATTTTCATAAATCAATCACATTACGATTTTGATGCTCAAGCAAAAACTGTAATCAAACTTTTTCTTCTTTTGTAAAATCCCAATTTCAGATCAAAACCCTAAAAATGGATTTTGAAAAAGCAGCAGCAGGAGAAGACAAAGACAAAAGTAAAACTGCGTGAAATTTGGGGAATGGACCATGGTCATGGTCAACTACGAACTTTCGGCTCTCTCTCAGCGATCTGTTCGCCTTTCATTGGATAATCCACTTCAATTTCTCACTACCTTGCGGCGTAAGCTGAAATCTCCATCGGCCACCGACGAGGGTTCCATTTCGATCGATCCCTTTGGAGTCCACTTCCCATGAGGTGAATTTTTGGTGCGACAGAATCTCCTCGAGTGTTTCGAAGCTCTAAAACCTCGGATCCGGCGTCTAACTATGGAGGATTTCGAGTCCAAATCCAAATCATATGGGGATGGGAGAATGCAGATTGTGAACTACTACGGAGACGAAGCCAGAGAACCCCCTGCTTCCGGCGGAATGGGCGTGCAAGATTTCCGTTGTTACAGTGCGTCGTATGCTTCGCAAACGCAGATGGGAAACGATTTGAAGCTCAAGAAAGGGAAATCGACGAACGGATTTTCGTCCAAGAGCTGGAGTTTCAGCGATCCGGAGATGCAGAGAAAGAGGAGGGTCGCGAGCTATAAGGTTTATACTGTGGAAGGCAAAGTCAAAGGTTCTTTCAGGAAGAGCTTCAGGTGGCTTAAGGAAAGATGCTCCCGAGTGGTCTTTGGATGGTAGCGGCTTTAATTGGTAACAGCTTTTTCCTCCACTACTGTGTTGTTTAATTAGCTTATAGTTCTGAAATCCAAGAATCTGTTCCTTGAATATTATGATTCTATGAATGTGTAACTAGTGCTGGAACTGGAAGTACAGAATTTTTTTTCAATGAATTAGATAATGGCTTTATGAGAACCTGCATGAATGTGGCACTTGCTGAAACTTAATTTAGAAACCACTTTTTCTTGCCTGCTTTCTGTGAATTGTCTTCTCTAAGATTTCAACATGAGAATTTCTGGTTTTCGTGTTTAAGATATAGCATCTTGAATCTTCCATGATGGATCTGATAAGGATTGTGTCTTGAGTTGCAGTTTTTTTATATGAAATAACTTAAGGCTTTTGTATTTCCTTCTCACTTAATATGCATTGGGTGAGTAAATTGGAGAGAGGGGAGGAAACATTGCCTCATCTTATTCTTCATTAGGATTTACAAGCATTAGTTATTTATGTGCCTTCAGTGAAAGGGCCACAAAAGCCTTTCACCTTTCTTGATGAAACCTGTTTTCTGAAGAGAATTGTATCACTGCCCTTTTCTTTGAATTTTGGATCCCTGCTCTAGTTCTATGAATCACAAACTTGTTTGTGACCTCTCTCTCGTCCTTTAGGTTCCCTCACCCCTTGTTAGTGGGTTTGGTTGGGCACTTTGACACTTCATTAATGGGTGTTTGAGCTACGACCTTACTTGAACAAGATCTGTTTTATCGGTTGTACAACTGTGTCATTGTATTCTATAACTTAATGGGTGCTCAAGCCAATTTCTGACACCTTGACTAATCTAACATCATAGACTCATAGTAGCTCGGTCCTACAACATTTGACATTGAAAATTTGTTACGTATTTAATCTCTTAAGTGGATGGATGATCATATGACATTTAGATTTCTTTACGAGTTTGAAGCTTTTGTTCTATTAACATCATTATTTTGCTTGCTTTCAAGGGTTTGCTCATTTTAACTTGGTTGATACATAAAGAAGTTTTTATATGAATTGAGAATCTAACATAAACGTCGAGGACATATCTATGGGATCACCGAGAACTTAAGATTCTTTTTGTGATTAGTTTTGCTTCCTTTTTGGGTTTGCTCACCATCATGTTTTGCTTCAATATTTTCTTTGATTCATGATTAAAAGTGTTCTATGCTTTGTTTGTTCTCCTCTATTTGCTTCAATATTTTCATGATTCATGATATGGCATAAAGCATGAGATTTAAAGTAGATATTTTTCAAAATTTCCAGTGTTTGACTACAAATCGTAGTCATTAAAATCAGCTCAAAATATTTTTTTTGAGCAACCACTTGATTTAATCTAAAACACTAATTTTAGAAGTCTTAAATGAACAAACCCATAGTTTTGTTGAGATTTTTAGCCACTAATAAATGTTTTCTTTTTTAATTTCTAATAAAAGACATTTTAAAATTTTCACGATCTTTATTTTCTTTCTTCTAGCAGAAAGAATTAAAATATTTTTTTTTCCCTTGAAAGCTTCTCTTTTACAATCGAACACTATTTTCTTTTCTTTTTCTTTTTCTCTCTCAATTTTTTTTTTCTTTTTTCCTTTTCCCATGGAATCATGCGTGCTTTGAGGGAAAAGCCAAAATTGAGTTGTAGTCTTGTTTTTCGCCGCCTCGCATTCCCTTCTCTCCCCGACATCGTCCCACACAGCCGACTAGCAATTGCTCGTTTTTCTTATTAGCATGGGATTGGATGTTAATAATGAAAGACAGAACATCTATTAGAAGGCAGGCAATCCCCAGGGTTAATTCTATTGTCGGCTACGTGTTTTACGAGTAATTTTAGAATACATACATGTTTTGGTTGATGTGTGTTTTCTGTTAACATTATTTTAAATTTGTTATGTTAATTTTTTTAGAACAAGTGGGAGTGGTAAAGATTTGAACATCCAGTATAAAAAAAAAAGAATTATATATATTTATCAAGTTGACAAATATGATTGTTAATTCAAATTTTGGATATTGTTGACCGAAAGATAAATATGTATGTGATTTCCTTTCAAATTTATTCTTTTTACAAGAAGAATTGATGTAACAAACTAAATAACGC